ACCGGCTGGACCACCGGTTCCCGGTCCAACCGGTCCGACCAGCCGGGTGGGTCCGGGTTTTAAAACACTGCATAATATTCATTTATTATATCAATGACTAACCTTTGTTGTTAAATTTAATTTTTATAGAATCTCCTCTCTCAGGTGTAACTACTCTCTATTAAGAATTAATAATATATATATATATATATATATATAATATTTGTATTTGTATATTAAAGAAATTTATTGATGTATTAGTTAAATATTATTATTTAAGTAAAGGAATGAAGTTTAATTATACATTTTACTAATTTTTTACCTTATTTTACATGACATATATTGTCATGTTGACATTGTATCATCTATGTAATTTTATGTCAATCTAAACGTTAAGATCAACTAAAATTATTAAATTTTTAATGAAAATTAAAATTACATAATTATCATAATTTAAAAATCCATTTTTTCAATTGAAACTTGGAGCTAAAATCCAAGAATTGTTATATTTTATGAACTAAAAGTATAATTAAGTTAAAATCTTATAAATACTTAAAACTTTTTTATTATTTATCATTTTTCTTCAACAAAATATCTTTAATTTCATCTCAATTAAAACATCCTTACCTAAATTTTAACTAAAACACTTTCACATCAATTTCAAAGAGATCAACTTTGACTCAATCTTCACGCATATATTTTTCTCTCATGCTTAACTAGAGTAATTTCACCTTAATCTAAGCCACAATATTTTCATCTAAATATCCATCAAAACATTTTTAGCTTGACATTGATTGGTAATTTTTCAGGCCAATCTCAACTAATATCGACCAAATTATTTTTAATTCGACATCAACTAAAGTAACTCAGCCTCAAACTAAATCGAATCATATTTAACGAGCATCATGTACAATCCCATGTAATTATAGTTTTATTAAATTATAAATGACAATAATAAAAAAAGATATTAGAAAACTAATAATATACTGCGAACACTCCTCTAGTAATATAAATGAGGTGAAAAAATGAAAATAAATGTGCGGTGGAGATGAACCTGAGTCCCTAGCCAACATGGTGCATAGAAAAACCACAGTATGACCAGTGACGTGTCACGTGCCGACAGTCGACAGGCATCGCAATAAATTGATAATTACAAAGTTTTAATTAAAGACATGTTTAAAATATTAGTCAATTTTTAGAAAAACATCACTAATAGATAGAAAAGGTAGTTTTAAAATAATAAATTATAAATTCACTTTATATTAGTTCTTTATTAATGTGAACGAATAAGAAAAATATTATAATTTTTTTTGACAGCTAGTTCCATATGTTTTTAAAGACTGTGTAAATATATATTAAATATTTTGGCAATTAAAAATATTTTTATTTGGTATAAAACATGAACAGGCCTTTAATTTTTGAACAAAGAATTTCATTAATTAATCATTTAAAAATTATATCCTTTTATTTATTTTTATTAAAAGGTATTTATGATAAATAAAAAAATAACCCACATAAACGAACACGCCCAGAACTAATTGCATATAGAGGTGTAATGTAATTTATATTGACCTATATATCCCGCAACTAAAATAACTACACGTGTACCTAATTAAATACTAGGTTTATATAATCTTTTTCTATAAATATTTATTGGAAAAAAGATAAAATAGTTTTTCATAAGTTAAATTTAATTTACATACTTTAATTTTTATAGATTTTTTTCAACTTCTAAGTTTAAATATATAAATTACTTTTAACTTATATTAAAAAAAAAACTTGATTCATTTGAATTTTAAATTTTTGGAAAGTACTTGTAAAAAATATCTAGATAAACTTATACGATAGTCGAAACCCAAAAAACCTGAACTCAAAATAAAAAATAGCTATGGCTGGATCTTTTAATCTAGGGGTGGTTCTCTCCCCAGAGTTTCCCAAATCTTTTTAGAAAACTAGTTTTTTTTAGATAAAATGTTTTTAGAAAACTATATGTAGTAGTATTCTTGAATATTTTTTATATGGTGAAATAAATACTACTTTAGAACGGTATTATTATTATATGAGGGATACTTTCTCTCTGTTTTCCTACTTTTTATACTCTATTATTGTAATCATGCTAATAGTTTTGCCATTCAATAGCCTCAAGTCGAGACACGAGGGATTGTGATTGAAATTTTGTACGGTATTATAGTACGTTCATTGATTCTCTTTTATTCTTAAAAAAAAAATCAAAATCGTCTTCTTTGTTGTCACATTAAAGATAGAACGATTCACTCCAAAGTTGTTAGCTCATATATATCTTATCAAATTTGATTCTTATCTTGGATTTAAAATGTGACCGATAATGTCACTTTATTTTTACGGAGATTCATGTAATAAAAATGAGTTATGACTATTTATTATAAAATTATAAAAGAAAATAAAATGATTGATTTAGTAGTCATTCAACTGTCTCATCCTATACTTTTATTGTGATAGGGTGCAAAATTTCAAAACAAAAGGCTTTTTTAATGAGCATTTATATTTAGAAAACTGATGGCTAAACCAACAAAAAGAAAAGAAAAAAGAAAAAAATCGTGATTTTATTTATTTATTTATTTGTATTTTAGTAAATAACGAGTTAAATTATAACTAAAATCGAATATTTAGAATAAAAGGATAAATGTTATAAGTTTATGGATTTTCATGTTATTGGTGTCCACGTGGAATTTTTTCTTCGCGTTGAAAACATTATTTTGAAATTTGTTAGATTTTGATTTCTTAAAAGGTCATTGCTTACAACTTGGGATAGACTTAAATTATGGATGAAAAAGATAGATTTAAAATGCATTTTCGAAGGATTTAAATGAAAGACCAATTTGAATTAAAGTTCAAAGCTAAATAGCTAAGATTGATGAAGAAAAAATGACCAAAGTACCGAGTAAATAAATATTTTGAATAAATAGCTTAAGTCAGTAAATAAATGTTATGAGTCATTGTTTTTTTCCAACACCTACAGCCATACACCTTCACACATCTTGAAAATGGTCACTAAATATTAAAAAGTTTTTTTTTTTGTGTCATCATTGCAGTATTCACTGTCGATAGCAGTGATTAATCTCCTTGCTACGTTGGAGACACCTCAAAAGGTGGGATAGCTAGCTCCAAGATTTAACACGACTGCATACACAAGGCAGGATTCGAACCCCTAACCTTGGTTAAGCGTTGATTAACAGTTTAAATAAAAGTTTATACATTTTTTGTTTTTTTTTCCTTCTTATTCAGGTTATCTTTTTACCGCTTAAATTTTCCAGTTTTTTTTAATTTTATTATACATTTAAACTAATGTAATAATCTGTATCTTGTATAGATATTGAGATTAAAATCTACCATCTGTATACATATATTGTTATAATAATTATTTTTTATTTTATATAAATATGTTTTAATAGATATGTATATAAATATTTGGAAAAAATAGTAAATGTTTTGTGTGCATTGTAAAAAAAATATGATGTACAACAGTACAAGTTATAATACTTGTTCAAAATTAGAAAGTTAAGATCACTAATAAATATGATTTTGTCAAATCGAATTCTTAATTTTATTTATTATTGAAGATCTAAATTAATAAAAGTTTGAATTAAGATTTTGAATAAACTCTATGTCTTCAAATAAATAAAAAACAAAACACCATTGATTTGATTCTGAAAGTCCCACATAAAAAAAATATATTTATTAGAATCAAAAGTGAAACTAATTTCTTTGGGATCTAACTTAAAAAATCGAAACAAAAAAACACACAACAATTTTCAATCATCGACCTATCTAAAATACGATAACCATATTGTAATAAACTATTTCATTAAGTAGTATAATTTAATCCAATATTCATTGTGATGTTCCTCTCCCGTGCAAGATTATTTTCTTATGGTGGCTCAATTTCAAGCGAAGAAGAAGAAAAAAAAATCAGTGAGAAAGAAAAATTATATATATTTTTAGTTTATAAATATAACTTATATAATATCTCAAATAACGAATGATTAATATAAGTATTTTTATTAAAAATTAATTTTAATACATTCTAGAACTATATATGATTATGTATATTAAACTCCAAAGTAAGTATCTCAATTATGCATATATTATTAGGACGATAGCTTATGTATGGTTTGGTGTCGGTGTTGAAGTTATGGCAGACGGTCCACCCAAACCGCACGACATTTTTTAGGGTTAAAAAGCATATAATAAAAAAAATAGAATATAAAAAATAAGATTATTAAAAAGTTGATTAGCATTAGAGAGAGGTCAAAAACTGAAATAGCACGTTGATTGTGGATGGAGGAGCTGCGGAAGGAAAAGTGAAAATTGAGGAACCCTTTTTAGCTTTTGGAGCGGCACATGTAATAATAACGTGACGCCATTTTCGCTCTCACCACTCACCACGCTCAGTATGCATGTGCTTTCTCTCTCTCTATATTGTATTTTTCTCTCACTCTCAGTCTCTCTTGTAGAGCTTACTGCCACTAACTGCACAGATACACATTGCAGAAATTCGTGGCCGAGAAGATCTCCTTTTGTTCCGATCCAATTCGATTATGAAGGCTAATAATAACAAACCAATAAACCCTCTCGTCACCTTCGAACACAAGAGGTATTATTATTCACTATTCACTGTTCACCACACGCGTCTCTCGCTCCTTTGCTCTCGCTTTATGCTAGATCCGTCAATTAACGCTTCGTTATCATCTTTCATTTCATTTTTTATTTTGATTTCAATTCACTTTGACCTCTGACCTACGCGACTTTCCGTTGAATTAGTGGATTTTGAAGATCGATCTTGGTCCGTTGAGTTTTGAATTAACGCCACTTCCGGATTTTTGTTACTTTTTTTTAAAATTTTGTTACTGAGTAGTGAGTAGTGGTAACTGGGAATCCGAGGCAATCAATGCCGACTGCTGTGGCAAGTGCGTTTTGTGCGGAATGTGTCGTTGTTTTTGCTTCGGGAGCGATTAGTAGCGATTTGAGTTGCGTTTTGCTTGAATTTGTTGTTTTGTGAATTACTTATTGTTTGTCTTTCTGTTAATTTTTGCGCCTTTTCTTATCTGTCTATTGTTGGATTGAGTTTTTTTTTTTTTTTTTTTGTTGGGTTGATTTTTTTTTTTTTTTTTTTTTTTTTTGGAAATTAATGTGTATTTGGTGTGAACAGGGATGCCTATGGGTTTACTGTGCGGCCTCAACACCTGCAAAGATACCGTGAATATGCTAATATATACAAGGTCTTGTCATGCTTTGGGTTTATGATTCCAGCTTTGTCAGTTTTAAGTTTTTTTAAGGAAGGATTAGGAGAGTGTTAAGTTGAAAAAACTTACTTGAAAGATTTAGATATGTGTACTACTTGGCGGTGAAAATTGTTTTTCTTTTCTTCCTCGATGCTAAAAGAACTTAATTTTGTAACCTTGGTGTTGTTCCAAGTGTAACATTTTTCGATTGCAATTTCAGGAGGAAGAGGAGGAAAGGTCAGATCGATGGACCTCATTTCTTGATAGACAGGCAGAGTCTTCTGAATTGGCCACAGAGAAATTAGTCGTGGGGGAGGGTGAGAAAGTTTTGGGTGATGAAGCTGCAGTGCAAGGAGCTGATGCTAGCTCAGAGAAGGATGCTGATGGACATGAAGTAAACAACCAAACACCTGGTGGTTTTGACGGTGTAACTGACAATGGTAGTCAAAAGGATGAGGCACCGGCATCTGAGGAGACAAAAGTTCACAGAGTCCAGTTATGGACAGAGATAAGACCATCTCTTCAAACTATTGAGAATATGATGAGTGTTCGTGTAAAGAAGAAACCTGGGTCAGTAAAAGATGAAAAAATCAAGAAAGGCATGTTAAAAGATGAACAAGTTATTGAAACAGCAAAATCACCATCGCATTCTGATGAAGTTAAATCACCAAAAGGAGCATGTGAGGAAGACTCTGAGGAGGAGTTCTATGATGTTGAGAGGTCAGATCCTAGTCCAGATATGCCTCTTGTTGATGGCACAAATGCCTCTGCAAATGGTACTACTGCTGATGTTGCACCACCAGAGGCTTCCTTTCCTTGGAAAGAAGAGTTGGAGGTTCTGGTTCGAGGGGGAGTACCAATGGCGTTGAGAGGAGAGGTACACATTATATACTTGAGATTTGAATTTCTTGTGAATTTTTATTTTTATTTTTGGTGACTTATCCTCTTGTTTGTTATTGTGTTTCAGCTTTGGCAAGCTTTTGTTGGTGTAAAAGCAAGGCGGGTGGAGAAGTATTATCAGGATCTGCTAGCCTCAGAGAGTGATTATGAAATTAAAACTGATCAGCAAAACACACAGTCAACTGACAGTAATGGGAAAACAGGTGAAGACTTTGTTCGTATGCCAGAAAAATGGAAAGGACAGATTGAGAAGGTATTTGCTTGTGATATTTCACCCTCATTGTTCTTAATGCCGTGATATTAATATAATCAGTATGAATCTATAAAACTAGTTTCTTGTTAGAAGTTCACAATTGTTGCTTGTTTGTGCAGGATCTGCCTCGGACATTTCCTGGTCATCCTGCTCTAGACGAGGATGGAAGAAACGCTTTGAGACGATTACTTACAGCATATGCTCGACATAACCCCTCAGTTGGTTACTGCCAGGTCCTTGCTTCTTTAAAGAGTTGCATGTTCTATTTTCCCCATTATTTTTCAGTTAGTCTAATGAGATGTTTATATGAAAGATATATACAGCTGACTAGACTTATTGGTTCACAGTTCACACAGAACTTGTGAGTTAATGAGATACCACAGTGCAACAAATCAACAATTACAGGCATTTATGTTGCCTTACATTATACTAGTTTTTTTCCTCTTAAAAAATAAAAAATAAAAATTGGTGGATTGAATTTGATCACCTTTAAATTATGACTCAAGGAACCCAATGATAATTCATAAGAATTTTTAAGAACTTGCAAAGATAAATATGCCACCGATTTGACCTTTACTAATATCTGATGTAAAATATACACGAGTTCTGGAAAATGAAACTTTTGGCTAGTCATTCACCTTTGTACTATTTTAAATCCACAAAATATTTTATTGATCTTTGTTTAGGTAGTTTTGGACTTTGGAACAATGTATTTATCCAGGTTTGTACTTTTTGGTAGTAGAATGAATTGAAGATGATCTGCGTCATTGTGGTATAGAAATAGTATACTTGATATCCAAAACAGACCTTCTATTGTGAAAGACCTTTGGGCTTGAAATGCGTACCAAGTCTAATAGAAGGTTTGTGTATGCACATCCTCTCAAACATTTTGTTGAAGTTGTAATTGATTAGAAGAATTAGGAACTACATTGTGGCTTACCTCAACCAGGCAAGAGCTGTTTTAAGATAGCATGCTCAACTGAAGCAACAAAGGGCTCTAATGCCACACAGGCACCCTTCACACGTGTGATGTGTATGATTCATGAATAGTATTGATCTGTCCTATAAAATGGATAACTAAATAATTTATGTCCGTCATTTATTATATGCCTTCTCACATGACATGATATTTGTTGATGGCATCTATAACCCACTGATTTAGCTTGTTGAAATAATTTATATTGCAGGCCATGAATTTTTTTGCTGGCTTATTGCTACTTTTGATGCCTGAAGAAAATGTCTTTTGGTATGTCCTTAGATAACTACATGAGTAGATTTCTAGAGTATATATATGCACAGAATGTGCACTTTTCAAAATAAATTATGAATATAGCATCATTATTATACTGGTGCGGTGTTTGATGAGCACTGTTGCGCTGAAGGAATGCCTCACTGCTTGCTTTATGCTTATGCACCATCTTTAGCTGCTTTACATTACAAATGTGAACTAATTTTTTGTTTCATCATTAACTATGGTTTTCCCCAGGACCTTGATGGGCATTTTAGATGATTATTTTGATGGCTATTATTCAGAGGAAATGATAGAATCCCAGGTATTGTTTCTTTACTCTATATTCTTGATTAAATTAAACAATGTACATGAATAACTATTATAGACATTTTGACCTGTATTCATATTCATTCAAATACATTTTCATTGTATCAGGTGGATCAACTTGTTTTTGAGGAGCTGGTGAGGGAGAGGTTTCCCAAATTGGGTTTGTAAACTATTTTAATTCATTTTTGCCTTTGAACTCACCAAGTGAATTTTGTTTCTAATGTTCCATTTCTTGCTATATTCTTGTGTGTACTTCTTTTGCAGCCAATCATCTTGATTATCTGGGAGTGCAGGTAGCATGGGTTACTGGACCATGGTTCCTGTCCATTTTTGTGAACATGCTTCCTTGGGAAAGTGGTCAGGTTTAATGTTCTATCTATTGAGTTGTATAGCTTAGACTTATTTCACAAAAGTGCCAATGTCAAATGAGCATCTGTACACTATTGTTGGAGCTTTCTTCTGATCTATTGTAATTATTTGGATTTCAGTTCTTCGAGTGTGGGATGTGCTCCTTTTTGAAGGAAACCGAGTCATGCTCTTTAGAACTGCAGTTGCTTTAATGGAGCTATATGGTACTGGCTAAAACTGTTTTTTGTTTCAAACTATATATAGTAGTTCTTGAAAAAGTAAACTAGCAATGCTTTAGCCTTACATATCTTCACAGAACTTAATTTCACTTCACTGTGTCTTGTAGGTCCAGCATTGGTAACAACAAAGGATGCTGGAGATGCAGTTACTTTACTTCAGTCATTGGCTGGGTCCACATTTGATAGCAGTCAGCTTGTATTGACAGCTTGCATGGGTTACCAAAATATAAATGAAACTCGTTTGCAGCAGCTGAGGAATAAACATCGGCCAGCTGTAATAGCTTCCATTGAAGAAAGATCAAAAGGGCTTAAAGCTTGGAGGGATTCTCAGGGACTAGCATCAAAGCTATTTGGTTTTAAGCATGATCCTAAAACCGAGCAATCGGCTGATATGCAAGTGCTTGGGAGTTTATCTCGGTCAGAATCTGGTTCCACTAATGCTGATGAAATTTTAATTAGTCTGACTGGAGAGGGTGAGATAGATTCTGTTCCAGATCTTCAAGAACAGGTTGATTTTATCTTTCCTTTTTACCCTTCTCACTTTTTATTTGATTGTGATATAGTTGATGGTGCATTTTATTCCTATCTTTTAACATATATAATATTCTCAAATTACTAAGACCAACATTAAAAAAAACATGTTTTATAAAGTGATAATTAGATTAGGGTAATGATTGCATTTACATTAAATGAACCCATAACCTCAATGAGGTTAATTTAATTCACATGTGGTTAAAAAGTTATTGAGGGCTATTGTTGTCCTCAACTGTCTTTAGGCTCAATTTTTTATCATAATGAACATTTGCCATTGTCCATTTCAATTATGTTTTTGGTATCTATCACTAAATACTAATTCAATGCATATACATCTTATTAGAATTTAGCAGGGTTTTGATACAACATTGTTTAAGCTTCACGTTTTGATATGGTTATTGCTTATGTTTCACTTTATAACACCCAAAATTTTATCACCATATCCTGTTTTGGAAAATCTAATTTGAGGAAATCGGTAAGGGGAACACATGCTGGAAAACTAGGACAGTGTGAAGATGAAACTTATTGGATGAATTTGTCAATTTCCCCACTTACTGTAAAATGAAAAATAGGTTGGAAACTTTTATTAACAATGAATGCTCATCTATCACTCCTCCCACCCCCCACCTTCCACCCCCCATGGCTGAAGTCTAACAGAAACTGATTACATGGCTTTATTCTTATGTTCCATGCAGGTTGTCTGGTTAAAGGTTGAACTTTGTAGATTACTAGAGGATAAAAGATCAGCCACTCTTAGGTACTTTTGACTTTTTTGCAGTCTTACAACTGTTTTTCTTTGTTCCCCTAACCTGCTCTAAATCATATGCCCAGTTCCATTAAGCATTGATGTGATATATAATTGTAGACATGAGTACTTCCGTCTATGTTATTAGCTTGGCAGAATGGCAGTCTGGGCAAAAAGAATGATGGGTGAAAGAGCAGAGTAATATTGATTAACACAAATATTGATTTGCTGGGTAGTGACTGAAGGTTAAATTTGTAATTTCAGAGTGATAAAATTATTGTTTAAGTGTTGGAAATCCATCCCTAAATTATTGGAGAATCACAGTATCTCATTAATTGGAAGAATTACTGCCAACCATTCTGTTTTTATTTTATTTCTGTAACTTTGAGTTCCCTATTTAATTTTGGGAATATACTATTTATTTTTTCTTTTCCGTTTTCTTCTTCCTACATAATGTGTATCTGTGCATATGAAATAATGCAGAGATGAAACAGTTTTCTTCATACTCTTCTGATAGTTAATTTTTTAATTTATATGTAATGTCTAAGAGGTGTTAGTATAATATTTTTCAAACAATTAAGGAGATTAGTAAGAGTTGAAAATTAAGGGGTTGTGTACATTCTCATGAAACCTCAGATACTCAAAGATTAATATGGATAATGGATTCTCCTTTATATCTAGGGCCATCCACTTGTCCTTGATACTTATTCTTTCTCTGTTTTTTCTTTATTTTTTTTTTCTCTTTTAACTTAAATTACATGACATTATATGTATGTATGTATACAGAGAGAGAAGTTCCCACTGAAAGTTGAGAGTTTTTTTTTTTTTTCTTTTTTCATATAGTGTTTATTTCCTTTAATTTCTTTCTTTTTATCAGATCAGAAGAGCTTGAAACAGCATTAATGGAAATGGTCAAGCAGGATAATAGGCGGCAACTTAGTGCCAAGGTAAGCCATGACTTCATATGCCTTCAATATATATGTATTTCGTTTGCAGTGCATATCTTCATTATCTGCTGGGCTGCTGCCTTTCTTATCATGTTATGATTGCTATAGTTTTTCCTATAGCAACATTTTGGTTTTGATGTTCTTGAAAATTCGGTTATGCATTGCATACACATTTTGAAGCAAATTGGTGAATTTTCAGAGTGAGATCCTACACCTAGCATGTCTTTACAGCATAATAGAAGGCAATACCTGTGCCTTGGCTCACACAACCGTACTAATGGCATGCTAGTAGAATAACTCTAAATTCATGCTGCAGAAATAGAAATAGAATTTTCTGAAATTAAAAATAAAATTTTCTGAATTAAATTTAATCAGAAATTAAAAATAAAATTTGCTGAATTAAATTTAATCAGAAATTAAAAATAAAATTTTCTGAATTAAATTTAATCAGAAATTAAAAATAAATTTTTCTGAATTAAATTTAATTAGAAATTAAAAATTAAATTTGCTGAATTAAATTTAATCAGAATTTAAAAATAAAATTTGTTGAATTAAATTTAATCAGAATTTAAAAATAAAATTTGTTCAATTAAATTTAATCAGAAATTAAAAAAAAAATCAGTTGAAATAATTTAATAAATAATTAAAAAAAATATGTTGCATGCATAAAAGACATAATCAGTAGAATAGAAGACACGCGCGTCGGAGGAAGGAGAATAGAAGACGGAGCTTGAGGCCATGTCGGAGCTGCGTTGGACCTGCGTCGGACCTGGAGGCGCGTCGGAGCTGCGCGTCGGCGATGGAGGACCGTCGGAGCCGGAGTTCGTCAGAGCTGCACCCGTTCGCCAGAGAAGCAGAAACAATGAGAGGGAGAGACGAGAGGAGGGGTTTGGTTTGGATGATCTGAAATCGCGAGAGGGAAAGGGATGATTAGGGCAAAAAAAGCCCATCGAAAAGACTGACTTACCCATAATGAAGGGTAAGTCTGAAATCGCGCCGCGATTCCGCGTTTTGGGCCGCTCCGCTCCGCCTCCGACGCGGCCGCTCCAGCCGCTACAGAAATCCGCCACGCGACAGCAGCCACGTTGCGGGGTGAGGCCGCTCCGCTCCGGAGCGCCGCGATAGCGGCCGCTCCGGCCGCTATTGACTACTATGGCTAGTAGTATCTTATAGTTTCTATTTTTAAATTCAAAATTGAAGCTGCAAGGGAGAGAAATTTTCCTTCTATCTCTCTGCTAAGGCTGTTTTCAGTTTTAACCATTGAAGAAGAAGTTTTCCATCTAATTTGTTATTTGAGAACTTAAAGCATGTAATCTTATCATATTCAGGTAGAGCAACTAGAAGAAGACGTTGCTCAGCTTCGACAGGCACTTGCTGATAAACAAGAACAAGAAACTGCTATGCTTCAGGTCTCATTTTTTTCTGTTTAAAATCATTCTTGGGATGTAATATAATTTCTCATGTGATATGAGCTTTTGTTGCTGTTAGGTCTTGATGCGGGTGGAGCAAGAGCAAAAGGTGACTGAGGATGCTCGCAGGTTTGCTGAGCAAGATGCAGCCGCACAAAGATATGCTGCCCAAGTCCTTCAGGTTACCTTTTTTCTTTTTCTCATCTTGTATTTCATCAATCTGTCACAAATACAAGCTAATCATATTTAAAAAGCATCATTGTATTATACTGGCTGATGGTATTTTGTAGCATGTTGATATATTGATGTCAGAGTCATTTTGGGGCCAGGGGAGGGGATGTTGGTGATTGGAGTGCACTATACTTAACAATCTAATTGGCGTTCTTTCATTTTGGGCAAAGTTGCCCTGTCTTGTGCTTAATTTGAATGCACTAATATTTATAAATCTCTGCGTCAAGTCCATGTTAATGTTTTCTTATATTATACTGCTATATATTATATTTTGACCGGCACAATGGTGAATTTTGGGGTTGCAACATCTTACAATCATACATATTATATTTGGCAGGAAAAGTATGAAGAAGCAACTGCCGCACTAGCTGAGATGGAAAAGAGAGCGGTTATGGCAGAATCTATGCTGGAGGCTACATTGCAGTACCAGTCTGGCCAAGTTAAAGTGCTACAATCTCCACGGTATATTTAAGTTCTTTTAATACTCTACACAGCATGTGCACCTACAAACTTTTATTTCTATATCGTTTTCTACTTAATAAAATTTTTAGTCATAGTTTTGGGACGAAGATCTGTTGTGTTATGACATACCATCAACATCCAGTTTCTGGTGGGGATAACTGAAAAATGTTGAAAAGAAAATGAAAATAATTGTTTGATATTTCTTATGCAGAGTCCTCTATGAATGAACTTAACTGAATGTCATCTTGATTTATAGATCTTCACAGATAGAATCTCCATCGAGAAACAATCAAGAGCCTACGACAGATATCCCTGCTAGGAGGATAAGTTTGCTTTCTCGTCCGTTTGGACTTGGATGGCGTGACCGAAATAAGGTTAGCTTTATAAGCCATTGCGGAAGAATCAATGTTTTACTTGTTTATAATGGTTTTGAAAACCAGACCAGACCAAACCAGCCAGGTCGACCAAGAAGCGATTCTTAACTGATTGGTTAGCTCCAAAAATTCGTTATTAGTGAATAGGTGAAAAATTGGTAGAACCGGTCAAATCGGTTTGAACCAGATCAATTAAAAAAATATTTTAATAACATATTTTAAAAATTATAAATTAAAATACTTATTTTCAATATTTGTCTTATATATAATTTAATTAATGTTAATTTGTAATTTTTAATATCTTTATTTTTTATAATTTATATTATATTAATTTGATATCTTTTATTTTAAATGTAAACTTGTTATTATTAATGAGTTTTTTTATATATTTTATTAAAATTTAAACTTAAATATTATATTACATTAAATGTTAAAATTTTATAAATAACATTTTATTTTAATTTTTAGTGTTATAAAGTTATGATATATTTATTTAATATTATTTTTTATTGATAATAATAATTATTAATATTTATTAATAACAATCTGATCACTTTCAACTACCATTGAACTATTGAACTTTGAAACAGTACTTAGATCAGTTCAATGTCCGGTTTGATTTTAAAAACGTTGATGTGTAGTAATAACGTGAATTTGTTGACAGCAACAGGAGAAACCCAAAAATGTAGAAGAGCCAGCTGAGGGAAAGCCCAGCATTGAGGAACAAAATACAATTGTTCAAGAAGACGGCAATGGCGTTAAAGTACATGATGATAGGAAAGAAGACAGTTCCTAGATTTTTCTCTATGACCTTCTCGAGACTGTTTGACGAGCAAGAAGGTAGTTCCTTCTTCCTTGTCTGTAATTTTTGTTTAGGGTGAACATATAATTTCATATTCATTAATTGTTTGTTCTTTATGATGTAACTGAATAATATAATTGAAAAGTTACGTCTCTCGTTTGTTCTATAGTATAAACTTTGTTGTGTGCGTGTGTGAACCTTGTGGATTCCACGGTTCTAAAAGAAACGGGCATGCGCGAAAAATGTTTCCAAGTAAACTGGACCTATTTTTGGAAGAGAGAAAATGATATAACATAATTCCTTGAAACACTAATTAATTTATTTTTATGGACATTTTAGAGTAAGATTTTAAACGCCCAAATGAAGAGTGCAAAATGTATCACTAGCCAAACTATTAAAGCCATTCACTGAAATGACTTGAAATCGAAGCTGAACAAGTACTCGATCCATGTTATAGATATATTTAGTTTGCAACGTCGGACAGTTAATACACAATTGATGATATCACAAATCCCCACTTACAAAATGATTTCTGCTATTCTTAACAAAAGCATTAGTTCACCTCGAGTCATCCGTACGAATATGTACGAAAATAATATTATTGGATACCCGGCTAACTCTGAGCTTCTCGTCACTGTACCTGGCAAAGGAAAATTCAACAATTTGAGGGATTGAAGAGAAAAGCCAAATCCACTTATTTGTTTAATTGTGTTATTATTCATATTTCAAAAAAATATATTTTATAAATCAATTTACTGAAACTTTTTTAAAGAATATTAGGAGTGAGGGAAGATGTGAAAATGAAAGGAAAAACATAGATAATAGAAAATTAAATTAAAAAACTAAAATATTTTTATTTTTCAGTTTAAAAACCAAATTAATATCTTAGTTTTGCAAGCAGTTTTAAAAAAACTGTCTCTGATTTCTTTAAAACAGGAAATCATGTTCTTGAGTCGCGACTTGAATACATAAACTGGATGTATTAATAAAGAACATGATTTCTTGGACTGTGTTATCTTACAGAAGCTCCAATATGAACTTGTTTTTCAGTTCTAGGGGATATCCGAATGGGCCACCAACTATGGCTGCATCATCCATCGTAACGTCATACACTCTGGAACTGGTTTTCCTGTCAATTTTTTAAAACAGATAATTGAAGGAAAGTATAGATAGATAGATAGATAAATGAACTTGGTTTTCTAATCTGTGCCCATCAAGTTCTCCGCTGTCTCTATAACTCGCTCCTATCAAGAGGCAACTATGGTTTACTCAACACTATCGTATATCGTTGCATACCCCTATCAAACTACTGCCTGGCATAATACATCCTTTCTTTTAGGGAGGGAAGCCTTGCACAATTGTAGCACATGTACCCTCTGGAGGTGGCAGACGTGCCCTTGGGCTTTAGGCTTATCCTTGACCAAGGCTGAAGCCCACCTTCCTCTGTGTTCACGTACTACTCTAGATCTAGCCCCTTAACTATCCCAGGTTTCCCACTATTTCTCTACAGCCGCCACCAGAGGCAGGTCCCTTCTTATTTCCTTCGTTTTGAGAACCTTATCATGAGTAAATATGAAACGATGGAAACTTACACGAAATTTCCATCCATGGAGAACTTGAGACCAAGCAAGATTTCAACCAGAAACTTTATTCTTCCATTCTTCCTGATAATCTGCAACAGCCATCAAAATATACAAACTAAATATGTGAGGCGGCATATGTGAAGATTAAAGTAAATGTAAAAGTTGAACCCGTACCTGCTTGCCCATCAGCCCATTGACAGCATTCTCTATCCAACTATCCGTCACGGTCTGTATATAATAAGTTGTTTAAATAAGAAAAGACAGACTTTGCAACAAAGATGTACACATTTAATAAGCTTCAACCAGTATTGTCCATAAATATTTACTTCACATTAGTCAAGTGATTAAAAATTAGCACTCCTTTGGATTTCGAAATCTACCTGTGAATTCCACATCATCTGCCACTCACCCTCTTCTAGTTCTGGTTCTTGACCAGTATTCTGCTTTAACGAAATAAGTTCATCTATTGCCTGTTGGAATTAAGAATGTGAAAAACAGTGAAAATTGAAACATTCCAGTTGTTTACAAAATTATATAAACAATTAAATCAGCACTCTTTACCTCTTTAACACCAATCCCCGAGGAAATAGCTGTCAGTAACCTTTGCCTAGGTTCAGTTTGCTTCTGTAACACAAATGTGGTTCCCTGCACTATAGATATGTTGCTAATAATTCTTAGAAGTATAAAGCGTATATGGAAATACTTTTATGTTATAGACAAATAAGCATTATACTCGAGAAATGGAACAAAAGACTACTAGAATGATGTTTCTACTGAAAATGACTAATCACCTTATTTCCTCTTGAGATACGAAGGTTACCCGAATTTGACAAATATGTGGTGTCTAACCAACCCTTTGCTTCATCTCCAAGTAGCTTAAATGGAACTGGATACGGAACTTTAAATGGAAGAAATTTAAAAGAAAAGGCAGCTCTGTCAAACCTAAAAAGGATTCTTTTTCCATCTTCAATTGATGCTGCTGCCTGTGCAAATTAAAAGACAAAAAACTAAGCCCCTTAACCAATATATGTGGTCGGGTGCGGTCGGGTGCACAGATCCCCGGGCTCTTTCAAAACCAAATTTTCAATACATGGAAGAACAGAGATAACGAAATATTTGTACAGAGATATGATATCATATCATCTGTATGAATAAGCGCAAACACAAATGTGAATTCAACCATCATGCATTTATGCTAGATGTAAAGTAACCAAAGAAAAGCCTAAAAGTCGTCCATATTAAAGCTCAATTATTTAAAAGCACGTAGTAATTACTAATGAGCAAGTAAATCAGCTGTAAACAAAGCTGGTTGTTTTTTAAAGAAAGTATCGTATTGTACTTCAAAAAATTAGCCGTGTACAAAGCTTATAACAGCACGGAAAAGAGAAAGCCAATCCTAGAATCTATGTAGCAAAAATCAGTTACTAATATGGACCATTGGCAAAGCCTCTTACCCTAAAGGGCTTCAATGAGTGTCATAGCATTACCAAGTGTTATAAAAAGAGAGTAATGAAGTTGAATTTTAACACAGAAATGTATATTAAATTTATCATAACTTCAATTGAAGTTATTTAGTATTAGTATTACCTCCACTTTGAGCTCACCAATAGCATCAGAAAATGACACAATATTGCATACGCGTGGGTCATTTGTTCGAAGATAAACCTCTTGAAATACACTAAAAAAGTCAACCCCAACAAAGGTTCTCTGAAAGAGCAATATAGAATGCCACATTGAGACACATCATCAAGCAATTTATAGAGTATGTCTTGAACAGGCCACGACACTTGTTCTGGTAGCTATTATCAAGTTGAAGTGAATTTCAGTTTAATATGCCTAAATGTAAAGACATGATTCCATGTCTTAAAGAATAATATATGCTGCTTTCCATAAGGGACTTAACAAAAGACCTATATCAGTATCCATGAAGACTGTTGCTTCCTCCTGTGTTATTTAAGAGATGACCTTATGGTTTTCATAATACAATGAAATAGTCGTTCCAAGAATTAAAGAATCCATGTATTCCGAGATGAAGAAGCTGTTCATGAGGTTTGTGTTTCAAAATAATAATAACCTTAAAATTTTGAACTGCTGAAAAATATTCAAATTGTCGTCATCCTCATAATTGTAGTTTTAAATGAGACATTCAACCTTTAAACATTGAACCGCTGAAAAGTACTCATATAGTCATTATCATAATAATAATAATAATAAATAATAAAAGTTTTAAATGAGACATTCAAAAACTTCTATTTTTTAATCGGATCCAAATGACACATTCAACTGTCAAGTAATTTTGGAAAAGGATGAGTGGGCCAACAATTTGCTTACATGGCAAATCAACTTTAAGGCCTCGATGATTCAATAATAATTTGTACTCAATTAAATAACCTTCCTGAATCAATTATCCGATCTTGTGTATATTTTCAAAAACTGAAGGTAATAATGTAGGCTGTAGGCAATAATGAAAATATTAGTAAAAGCCAATAAACCATTGGAAAATATGTTTCATTAGGACGTCGAAGAAATAAAGGCAAGACAGAACCTGAATTGGCGATGCTGTTCCGGGTCTAGTGGTGAAAATTAGCTGCCAGCGACCCTCGATCAAATTTGATTTTGTCTGAAAATTTTAATTTCATGGATCAACGGTAAAATAATAAAAAATATATATATAACAAATATAGTTTGTCTTGTCTAGTACTCCCTCGGTCCAAGGTGAATGTAGTTTTTTTTTTTTTGGTAAAGAAGGTGAATGTAGTTCAAAGTTTTTAAAAACGGTTAAAAACAACCAATAAATATATCATATTTTTTATACAATTTTCTAAAAATAATCTTACTCAATAAATACATTATTCTTAGTTGTAGTAGTTGAAGAATTTATAAGGTGATATATTAAGAGAAAAAGTAATTAATATTACATTAAAAAAAATGAGAACATCAATCATAATAATTCAAATGTTAGAACTCTACTAGTTATTTTGACGAAGAGAGTAGTATGCTCAGTTCAGCTCCAACTACCGGAAAATATTCTCTAATTAATAATTGAAGCTAGTCCTAATTGTGAAGCACATGAATGTGCATGGAAAATAAGCCGAACATTCATGCGATTTTAAGAAAAAAAGAAAAAGGAAGCTTAGGAAAGCATATTGGAAAGTAAAAGAATGAGAGTGCGATGAAATTGAAGACGAACCGGATCAGGTACACCTCCTAAACGTTCGAGGACTTGAACAGCGCGCTCAATAGCCTGAAAGACAAATAAAAGAAAGAGAAATGAATGCAGCATCTGAATTCATAGAGGAACTGAAGAGTGAGAGAGAGAGAGAGAGAGAGAGACATTGAGCTGCTGAGGAGAAGAAGAGCGT